CTCTGTAGGGTGAAACACAATTTTTTTAATAAACGACACTGTTTGGGGATTGGTACGTCGTGCTCACAATGTGTCAATCCTAGGGGTGGGCACGGTCCGGTCCGGTCCAATATTTGGCCGAACCCGTACCCGTACCGTTACTATTGAAACGGTTCGGTACGGTTCGGTCTTAGACCCAAACCCGTTCAGTACGGTTCATTTTCAAACGGTACGGTACCATGCCATACCAATACCAAACAATGCCACTTTTTCCAGGTGTTTAAGAAAAATTAAAGTTTAGCCATCCTCCAAAAAATCCACACAATTTATCAATTTTCATATATCATGCTACCTTCGTTCCAAATTGATTTGCAAAGTCAATCTTTTTTTATCAAACAATTTCTTGTATTCACTTAATTAGAATTTTACTTTTTAATTATATTCTAATTTGGCCTTTCAAAAAAACTATTCCGTACTTCGTATATTTTAAATTGGATTTTGCAACTTTAGAGAGATTTTAATGTGGTTTCTAAATATGTAAATTTTAATTATTTAAAAATTGTATTAATTATCAAGAACTTAACATTAACTTTGACAAAACAATGTTGGCTTTGCAAATCAATTTGGGACGGATGAGGTAATTAATATATTTTAGATAAACTATAGTAGTATAAATTTAATAGACCATACTTCGGTCCGGTTCGGTCCGGTACCGGTTCTCATTTTATGAGAACCGGTCATGGCATTGTTTGGAATCGGTTCGGTCCGGTTCGGGACAAAAAATTTTGAGATCCGTTTCAAACCCCGTTTATCGGTCCGGTACCATACCGGTCCGGTTCGGTATTTTTGCCCACCCCTAGTCAATCCCAGGGTATAAATTGCAAAAAAAAAAAAATTAACATACAAAGTTAATTCCAAAGATGGTATTTTGTAATTGTGAGGGTAACCAGCAACTCAAGCGTGGTGAATCTAACAAAAAATCATATACTTATAAATGAGAGGCATATCATCGAAGAAAAGTGTCCACCTCAATAATTTTTAGATTCAACCAAGAATATTTCTTATATGGTCTTATATGAATATTCTTATCTAATCTAAATCATTCTCATCTTTAATAGTGATGGATATTAGGTTTCTGAATTATATAACCGTTTTGAGAGTTTGAGCTAGTAAAGAAAAAAGATGAATAGTAGAGTTTGCCTCGAATGTGTGAACTAGGGTTTACAAGCATCTGATGCATGTATAGGAAGATGTTAGTTGGACCGGTGATATGAATCTAATAGGTTCAACTGCATAAAAGATTAATGAAACAGATACAAATAGATATGTAAATTGTGCAACTACAACGGCTGCTCATGTATTTTCAGCAGATGAGTAGAGTAGTAGACATGGATAAGGATGTTTTTAGTTGGATTGTAATTCGTCCCAGAATAGACCAAATCAAACCAAACCAGACTTAGATAGTTTTAAAATACAAAGAAAACAGACCAGACTAGATCAGACCAGACCAGACCAAACTAGCAAATTACAGTCCAAGTAAAAACATCCTAAGTACATACAACTCATATAAGAGTAGAGTAGTAGACTTGGTTTTAATGTTAATTAAATAAAAAAAATATACGAATGGCACTAATCGTATCTCAACTTTTGAGCTTTGATCTACAAGAACGAATGCCCATTTTTTTGTTTGATGTCCAGCGAGCAAAATGCTGGAGGCACAACAAGAAATAGTCATAGGCTTACTCTTTTATTGTAAAGTTCTTATAGTGCATGTGCTTAATTCATTATGCAAGCTCGATATATACCCGAAATGTTGTTAGGAAAATCATAGTTTACTTTCAAATTATCCAAAAACAATACTAAGAATTGATCATATTTTAGCATCAACAACGGTCCACCAAACCGTTGTGCATCGTTTTTTCAATAAACTGTTTTGGACCTCTGTGATTAATTCTCAGTTTGGCTATGTGTTTAAGGGAGTGTTTGCAACTGCTTCTGCTTAAAAAAAAGCACTTTTGGAGAAGTAATGAAAAAGTGATTGGTAGTAAAAGTTGATAGTGTTTGAGAAAAAAGTGATTTTGAAAAGTAAAAATTGGTAGTGTTTGGTAAAATAAGTGCTTTTTGTGTAATAGAAAAGGGAAAAGCACTTTTCACACGCAAGCCGAGAAAAAGTAAAAATTGGTAGTGTTTGGTAAATAAGTGCTTTTTAAAGCCAAAAGCTGAGAAGTGCTTTTTTTTAAGCAGTTGCAAACACTCCCTAAATATATGTTTCAATATTTTGAACTAAAGTAGTGTCTGTGTGCATAATTATAGGTGAAGCGTTTATGAGACACTGGTTGATTTTGTTAGAATATTTATTTAATTATTAATATTCTAATATTGGTCATGTATTTGGGGTTATATGTTATTAATAGAATTCGTATAGTCCTAGACCTTTAATTGGTTTAATGATATGCTGAACCGATGTTTAAGTCTCTCTAGGACTAGGGTTTCCCAACCCTCTCCTCTGCCTCTATATATATGCTTATTTCCTATGGAATAACAACACAATATTAGTGAGAGATCTCTACCTATCAACAATCTCATAAGGAAAGAGGCCAGAGGGGATAAGAGATTTATTCCAGTTCATTCATCTATCATGGATCCAGGTATTCCCAAATCCCAGATCTATCAGTATATGATTATGTATAATTATATGATGCCGATCTTGGAATTTAATCATTTTTTAAATCACGACCATTATAGATTAAATCTCATGTATCTTTTCATTTATTCATTTCATCATCAACTGTTTGAAATCATATGTAAATGGAACAGTCCACATATATGCATGACTGCGCACGCAAATTCATTCATATTTTCATTCAAATTATTCAAATTAATCAAATAGAACACACTCTTATGTTTATTCCCATATTCTAAAACTTCAATAATTTGGACCGGGATTGATTTGATTTTGAACATATATTAGGATGAACTTATGACCTATAGTTTTGGCGTTTTCTTCTCACCTTTAAAAAAGGAGTGTGATTAAACGGCCGTGTAATACTTGGATCTAGGGCCCCTATATGGGACCAAAGCTAGGTAGGGTACCCGATGGAGCTCAAGGGTCATACTCCGTATTACTCTGTAACATTTTTAAGGGTTGATGAATACACACAGGTCCATATTTTTTTAAAAAAAAAAAAATCTAGAGACAACATTGTTTGAAGGGGGAATTTGACTTTGCACCCCACATTTGGGATGAAATTGGACTTTGCACCCCATTTTAAAAAAACTTTTATTTTGCACCCCATTTCACTTCAAAATTCTTTGACTTTGCACCCCATTTTGAAATTTTCCTTCACAAATTTTAGATGATAGGGTGCAAAGTCAAATGTTTTTTAAAATGGGGTGCAAAGTCTAATATCACCCAAAAAGTGGGGTGCAAAGTCAAATTCTCCCTTGTTTGAATTATCCCAATTTTCATTGGAAATTATTTGCGATCTCATTTATACTTTTTTCTATTTAAATCTTGATCACAAATTTTAATTTTCATCCACTTTTCATTGTACCAAACTTAAACAAGAATCCTTATGGGTCAGAGATAGTACTCCCTCCGTCCCAATTTGATGGTCCTGTATTTCCTTTCTGGGCCGTCCCAAATTGATAGTCTCATTTCCCTTTTTGAAAATAAATATGTGGTCCACATTATTTCATCTTTTCTACTCAAATCTCAACCACAACTTTTACCTTTTCAACCACTTCCTTAATCTTTGAGCCCAAAAGAAATGAGACTCTCATTTTGGGACGGAGGGAGTATTAACTAAATCCTGTCACCCATCTCTGGCCCACGTAGGGTATAAGATCCACTCCTATAAGTAGGACCTATCCAAATTTGAGAAAAGCTCCAAAGTTTTATATAAAAAAGGATTATGTAAAAAATTATGCGGAGTATGAAATCATTGGTTATACCCGCCTACCCAACACACTCCTAGCTAGGTAATTGCATTCCCTGATTCCCAATCCAATGAGGAGTCATTTTTGTGTATACGCTTATTTTACACGCCACATAGACAATTTCATATGCAGGACCGTAGATGAGGACGTACAAGAAGTGCTATCGCACAAGGTTTCTTGATTTAAAAGACCCAAAATTTTAAATATAGTTTACATAATATACATAATCTTTTTTATTTGATTTAAGATTCCTATTTTAGTATTTTTTTAAATACAAACATTAAATACTGACATATATATGTAATTAAAATGCAATAGTTAATTATAAATGTACAACTTCTTTATTACATAAGGCCTGGATAAGGCCTAGTTATAGTAATTAGCACAAATTTCTCGTACAATTTGGACGAGCTTCGTTTTAAGGGACGTAGGAAGTAGTTTTTTCAGTAATATCCTACTCTATATTTTATAGTTCATGATTTTAATTCATTTCTTTTCGGTTTTAGTTTTTTTTTTACCAATTTTGGTTGTTCAGGTTCGAAATATGATATTATATCTCAATGTCACATTTGATTGTAATCTTTTTTGGGTTATTTTTTAAAGATTGCTTTTAATATTATATTTATTTAATATATGCCCATTTTACGTGATTTGCACCGGGTCTCCTAATTTATTGAGCCGGCCTTCTTCATATGCAATACAGTTTTCTAAAACAATGTAACTTTTTTGACGAATTGTGTATTTACATACACAATTATATCCGCGGGAACTAAGGATATGCATAAAAACGTGTAGAGTTGACAAGTACAAACTTATGTGAATAATGCTCTTAGTCCATGAGCTCCATAGATGATGTGGAAAAGAGATGATAATGGGAGGGTGAGTAATGGAGCTGTGAAAATGACCTGACCTAACATTTTAACAATGACACCCGTAATAAAAAAATGACACCCATCATAAAAAAATGACACCCATAATCATTCTCAACAATAATAATAAAAATATCTGAAACAAATACAAAAACAAGCACGATATGTAAGAGTCGTTGGAGCGTTTCCAAGCAGCTTGCTATCGATCTACTCATCAACTTTAACTTTGTCGTACATTTGACACAAACCTTATATATATACCCCACCACCAATCCCCCATTTTCCATTCATTCCATACATAAAAATCACAACTCACAAGAATCCAATACACTAAACACTCTCCTTCCCCGCTCTCTCCATCAAAACCAAAGAAAAGTCAAGCCCAGAAAAGTAAAAATGGAGCCAAACAAATTGCCAGTCATAACAAAGAGGTTTTGGAGCCTGGTCAGGGCGGCGCTCTTCATGCTCCGGCAAGGCATCTCCAAGAGGAAGCTCATGCTTGATCTCAACCTCAAACTCAAGCGCCGAAAGATCGAAGCCGCCCGAAAAGCCGCCTTCAGCAACCTCATCTCCTCCTCGTCCACCCCTGTCGCCACCGCGGCCACACCCAAAGACTTCGTCGACCCTTCCAACGCCTACGAGTTCAGCTGCGACAGCCCCGCCCACCCCGCCCCCTCCGCCGCCTCGCTCGGCTTCTTGAACATTGTCATCAAGAAGCTCACCAAGCTCCTCCGCCAGTCCGCGGCCGCCCACTCGCTGCCACCCGGTGAGGAGGAGGAGATGGTGAAGGCGGCGGAGGAGATCGTGCTGCGGAGCGCAGCGGCCTCTCCGGCGCTGCCCGGGTTCGGGGCGACGCCGTTAGTGAGGCCGCTGCGGGTCACGGACTCGCCGTTCCAGTCGAGAGACGGTAACGGCGGTTATGACGGCAGCGACGTGGACGAAGACGCCGAGAAGTTTATTCGCAGGTTTTACGAAAATCTGCGGCGGCAATGTTCTCAGTGACTCATCATCTTACGATTCGGGCCGGGTCGGGTCGTGATGAAATTACCAATATTGGAATAACAAGGACGGGTCGGATCTTGAACTGTGCAGCATATGATTAGGGCACGCGATCTAAGATCTGTGGTGGTTGCGTGAACGGAAAACTGTACTTTGCTTTTTTGCTTTATAAGTCCTGCTTTTTGTTTCACTTTCTCGAAGTTTCATAGGTAGAAAAAAACAGTGAAAATGTAATGTAAAATCATGAACATGAAAATTTAAAGAGTGTTGTCTGTATTTTATACGAGTGTATTTTCAAAATATAGTTTCAATTTCAATGATTTATCATTGCCTCATTGGATTCACAGTAAGATATATTCACATCGGCAATCGGCAATTTTTTTTGATGTTGTGCCATGACTTCATTAAGGAGTAATTATATGTAACTCCCAAGTATTTTTTTATAAGGGAGTCATTCGATTTAAGTTTTAAATTAACAAGCGCCCAAGGTTGTATCTGTTCTGGTACATAAGTGTTGGGTGCAACTCAAATTATACTTTTGTGTAACTCTTGTTATATTTTATGCAAATGTCGTGATAAAAGATATAAATAAGTTTGAATACTGTGTTGGATGCTTTTTTGGTAGAAACATAGGAGCAATAGCTCCTATCTGTTATTAATGATCAAACGAGAATGGGAAATCCCAAGTAAATCGTAAAAAGTGTGTAGTGATAATCTAGAATAGCATTAGAAATAGAATGAACACCAATAGGTAATCTATGGTCTAGGCTAGCTAAAAAGTCTGCTGCCCGGTTACCCTCTCGGTAGATAGGCTCAACTCTAATCGTTCAATCTCGATACTGTGTTGGATGCTTTAATATAGCTAGATACTTTAAATTTGGTGTAATTGTGACTCATTATCATATCGGGTAAATGATAATCCTTGTTTACGATATGCTCCATGTTTACACTCAAATTATTTTAGCAAATAAAATTTACATATTCAAAAGTACACTAAAATTTTTACAAAGCCTAATCAATAAAATTTAAATCTTCAGGCGAAGGTGCCTGGGCCAAGGTGTCCAGGCCGAGCTGCCCTACAATTTTTTGAGTCGTTGACTTTGTATCCTGATTTCATCGTTTCAATTCTGGAGATCTTATGTAGATGGGCCTCGTCTGGCAGAGGTGGGTATTCTAGCAACGGTAGGGAGATCTGAGATGTGTATCCATGAGTATGTGGCGGGTTGTAAGCCTGAGCTCATATACTTTATTAGAAGTTCCCCACTCTTTGAGCCAATAGATGTAGTGATGGAGTATATGGCCCGAGAACCCCCCCGGCCCATAGACTCCTACTACTCCAACACAGGCCCAAGAAGCACAAGAGGCCCAAAGCACAGTGGCCCAAGTGTCAAGAGGCCCGCGGTGCACATACGGGTGCCTTCGGCCCAATGGCCAAGGGCTCCAAAATCCACAGAACAGCCAGATTTGAGCATACAAAGCTACTGGAAGAAAATGACAGAATCTGAGAGCCTTCGGCATCTTCATGCCCTCGGCATAAGAGTAGCATTCGGCATACCAAGACTTCGGCTGCAGAGACCCCCGGCTACGAGGAAGCCTTCGGCTAACAACTCAATCATCGAAGATTCCCTTTGGAGACAAGCAACCACCGCATTTAATGCGGCGTCACGTCCAACCACCGCATTTAATGCGGTGCACATACGAGTGCCGGTGCCGACCCGATTGAGGTGACCCCTCGGCCGTTAGATTGTTGACACGTGTACTCTCATCGCATTTATGGCTGCTATAAATAGCATGCCTTATTCCTCTTGTAAAGGATCCCAGAATAAGTTCACTTAATATACTTAGCTCTCTCTCTCTCTCTCTTACTTGCTTCCTCTGACTTCTCTCTAGGTTATTCCCCGCAATAACCCCTCGGATAAGCTACCCCCGGATACGCCATCCATCAAGATGTCAAGGTGAGAGAGAGTATAACATCATGTGATTTATAGTTTGTTGATTTTGCATTTTCTGAGATTGGCCGAGGCATGGGTGCATGTAGCCGAGGTGCTTTTGTCCTTTACTGTTTGTTTTTCATTTATTTGGTGAGTTCCCCATTCCCCTAATCATTCGAGTCAAGAGATTGGTCGGGGATCCAATCTCTTTGGAGAACCCTGCCTAGGCAATCCTTGGGGAGAATCTTTGGACGAAGGTAGCTGGCCAGACACTATCAACGACAGACGTGATTCGAGGTGTGTATATTAATATATTCTTATTTTATTATACCTATGGATGATGCTGAGACATGATCTTCCGAAATTGAGATGTGACTGTTCGAGGTCGTGTTTCTTAAAATGTAGTGTCTTGTGGACGAGGGGCTTTTACGTGTTGTGAACTCAGATCCATGTGACATGTTAATGATAGAGTATAGTTTTAGATAGAAGTGAGGGCTTAGAGAGATAAATATATGACATTAAAGATTTTCAGAACCCTTTACACCTATCCCAAGGGGGTATTTATAGAAAAAATATGGGTTGGGTTCTCAAGCCTGGGTGACCGAATTACAATAATGAATCACTAAGTGGCTAACACACGAGGTAAGCTGCGCTATTCTAATAAGTATACAATGATGTGAATGTCATCTGTTAGATGTTCCTAATAGTGTAAACTGTGTAAATATTACCATTAATTAGGTTTCCATATTTATTAGGTTTCCTATTGTAATCAGGACATACTTTATTATATATATGACATCTAGGGCTACCACTTTTGATAAGTCATTCCATTATTCTCACATGGTATCAAGACCTCTAAGTTTTAGCCATGCTTAAATTTTTTCCCCGGTCCTATGGCATCCCCAAGCTCCACACTCTTAATCATGTTCGTACTCCACTTCCTACACGAACTAAGCTATCTCTCAGTGATGGTAATCTTCTCGCAGATCCTACGTAGTACAATGGTATGATAGGTGTTTTACAGTGTTTGTCCATGACTCGACCTGCTATTACATTTGCTATTCACTTGGTTTCTCAATTTATGCATGCAACCCGTACTTCACATTTATTGGTTATTATGTGTATCTTCAGGGATCTCCAGATCACGCCTTGCTTCTTCATCCAAGCACTTCTTCTCCTGCTTTACAGGCTTATTCTGATGCTGACTAGGCTGGTTGTCTTGATAGTAGTCGGTCCACTTCAGGCTTTGCTATTTTTTTGGGTCCTAATTTAATCTCATGGAAATCCAAGAAGCAGCCGGCTGTCTCCTGCTCTTCCACAGAAGCCGAGTACAGGGCCATTGCTTACACAGTTCAGGACACTCTTCACATTCTCTCCATATTGTTCAAATTAGGTGTTCTCATTCACCAGATTGTTCAGTTATTGTGTGATAATGTCTCTCCCTCCTACTTACCACAAATTGTTCGGAGCAAGCACATCAGCATTGATTACCACTTTGTTCGTGATAGAGTCTCGCATGGAGATCTGGTTGTTTGCTATGTTCCTACACAGTTCCAGCTAGCCGATATTTTTACCAAAAGTCTGTCTCCACAACGATTTATTTTTCTTAGAGACAATTTGCGCATTGTTTCCCCTGCACAGCTTGAGTGGTGTAATAGTGTAATTAATACCATTAATTAGGTTTCCATATTTATTAGGTTTCCTATTGTAATCAGGACATACTTTATTATATATATATATGACATCTAGGGCTACCACTTTTGGTAAGCCATTCCATTATTCTCACAGTTCCACGTCGGGGTGCCCATCTTGAGTTGTCCAATCTCAGTTCTCCAGGCCAAGGTGTCAAGCAATGTTTCAAGTAGTTTGCTTTGTATCCCTATTCCATCGATTCTAGAGATCATGTGTAGATGGGCTTCGTCTGGCAAGGTGGGTATTCTAGTTGTTGTTAGGAGACGCATGTACCCATGAGTATGCAGACTGTGAGGCCGAGCTCATATACTCTATCAGTAAGTATAATGTCTTTTTATGTGACTTATGGAATACGGTGAACTTTGTTGAATTCCAAACATGAATCAAACGAACTCCAAAAATAAGGTAGAAATTGAAGATAAGTTGCATGCCTTCAAATACAAGTACGACTCTTTGTTTTGGATTAATGAAATTTTAGTTTTGAATTGATAGAGAGAGAAAAATCTATATTTATTCCTAATTTAATATGAAAATGAAGAACAACAAAACTATTGTTAGGTCTTTAATGATTCTGAAATGTTGATCTTCTTGATAACATTGGAAGTGTATGCAGGATACTCGTGAAAGAATCACCTATGTGAGAGAGAAGAGGGTCGCTTCAAAGGAGAATTGTAAAGGCCCAGTTCTTTAGAAACTCTTGCAGAACCAAGACAGTGACCCATGGCCAAAAGGGACAAACCCACGAGAATGAAACAAAGTTGGAAGGTTCCTGTGTAAAGATAAGTCAATGTTTACACGACGGTTGTATAGTTCAAAGACACCGAGACTACTAAACAGCCAGTAAATAAACGTGTCTTTACAGCGGAAGGTTCAAAGGATAAAACCTACCTCTCTGTATGCAAGGATCATCCGATGAACACAACGTGTCCTTCTATCTTCGTGTCTTGTTAAGTCTGGACAATCGGTTTTCATTCATGTGGGGGATTGTTGGAAAATGTGTTAATAAACTGCATTAAATAGTCATTTTGGGGCAATATTTTGAGTGATGTCCACTTTTGATTTGGGCTGAGTCAAAGTGATTTCTGATTGTCCTTGTGAAGGACTACAATTTGATATGTGGTACACCCAAAACGGATAACGGGTGAATGAGAAATTGATTGTCGAAGTTCACTCTATGAAATGGAGAAAACTAGAAAGATAATGGGTTTCTAGTGGGATACTTCCCACACCGGAAAACCCGAGGAATTCTCAACCCCTTATAAAGGGGAACCCTCTTTGAAGGAGTTGAGATTCCTAACGTTCCTTTTTTTCTCCAGTTGTAGCCCTGTTGGGAGGAGGCTGTTGCTCCTTGTTGAATGACTCGCAACAGGCAGCTGCTGAGACGTTACAACGTTCTGTAGCTTTAAGAGGATAATTCACGAACGGTGCAATGCCCAACGGACTGGTCATTGAAGTCCAACGTTCAGGTTCTTTAATACTCCATTAACACACCACAAATCCTTCCTATAAGTAGTTGGCAGGTGCTTTGCAACAACACATGCAATCATACACGAACTGCACGTTTTGTTTAGCTCACAAACACTCCAACTTTCTCTGAAAACTTCGTCTCTTGTTCTTGCTTGGCTTCCATTCGCTGGAACAATTTGTTTGAGTCCTCAATGATTGTTCGTAGTCATCGTATCCTAGGAAACGATCGTTGCAACGCTCCTAGCACCTAGGGAGACAACGAATACATTTTAAGGACATCGTGCATAACACG